TCCCCACAATGCCTCCCGGCTCGGGGCCCCTTCCTTGCCCCCCCGGCACGGCTGGGGGGTGTGTGTGTATCACCTTCCCTAGTCCTTGCAGCCCCAAGCAGCATCCATCCCTCGTCTCCAGGAGCAGGGCTGTCCCCCCACCCCAGCAGCGCAGGTACTGGCCCCCCCAGTGCTGCATCCCACCACAGGCACCCTCACCCCATCCCCACAATGGTGCAGGCACGTCCTGCACTCGGCAGCCCAGGCACTGCTCTCGTGCCCCCCATCCAACGCTCCCCGTAGAGCTGCTGGTCGTTGATCCCAGATCTCGTGTCACTGCGTCGCGGTGTCGAGATCAGTTCCCAGCGAGATCCCGCACCGACTGGGCTCATGCCATCCCCAGTCCCACACCACCATGATCCCGCAGGCAGGACAGCTTGCCCTGGCAGCCCAGGGAATCCCGACTGGCCCCATGCCCCCCCTCCCCCCCCCAGTGTCCCCCAGGCTGGGTGATCGGCACAGCCCCCCTCCCCTGCCTGTGTAGGGCTCTCTTCGTCTCCCACCGGTTTCGGCGGACGTGTGAAGAGTGCCAGCAAGGCCCCACCGCTGCCCCGCAAGATCAGCCCCACAGTGTACGAGACGTTCCTGGAGCAGAGTGACGTCGCAACCGGAGGGAAGGTACCGCCTGGCCTGGACCCCCGGTGCCTGCTGCCCCCCACCCCCGGTAACTGCCCTCTCCGCTCGCAGGCATCCACGTCGCCGACAGCGGATGGAAATAAAGGGCTGAAGTCGCCACCACCTCCCCCACCGAAGTCCAAGCGAATGTCACAGCTCAGCCCCGCTGCCCAACCTGCAGCTGCGCTGTCCCCTTGCGGCCACCCCTGCCCACGGGGATGGAAATGCCTGCGGTGTCCCTGCTCCCGGCTGGCTGCTGGGCAAATGGCCCTGCTTGATCCTCGCCTGCTGGACCACCCCTCGCCCACCTCTCTTGCAGTATCTACACCAGAAGCATCCCGCACGCCCACGGGACTCCCCGTGTGCCCCGGTACCAGGGGTGGCACAGGGCATGGCCACCCTGTGTCCAGCCAGGTCTGGCTATTGCCACCCTCCAGATGCCCCCCTGGGGCTGGGACCCACCTGCCCCTGGACACTTCCCAGCCCCAATGCTCTGCATCAGCCCTCAAGCCAGGCTTCACCCTCCTGCTAAGGTGAAGCAGTTATGTGCCAGCCTGTGCCGTGACGTCTCTCCCGCACAGAACTGTGCTGAGCTCCCACCCATGCAGCCCCCCACAGCGCTTCAACCACACTGGACCTTCCTCCCTCCACCCTGGACTGCCCGCAGACCATGCCACAAGCAGCATGACAAGCCAGTTCCCCACTGGCATGTGCTGAGCTCTTTCCTCCTCTCCCGCTCTCCACCCCAGGGGCAGCTCCCATCCCTCGGCCGCCCACCCCATCCTGTAGCACCAGGACAAACAGGCTCTGTGACTGCACAGGAGTCACCCAGGTTTGCGAGCGGGCCCGGGCAGCATCGCGTTTTGCACGGTGCCAGCTCTCCTGACGGCATCTGGCTTTGCAGCTCTGCCTGTGCCAGGCTGGTGCCGCTGCCTCGGTCAGCTGCGCTGGGCTGCAGCCCCTGTCTCCCTGCTGCAGCAGCCCACGGCCACGGCTGGCTAATAAATGACTAACACATGAGCCGGGCACCCTGTGTTGGGGGTAAAAACCTTGTATGCACCCCAGCACTCGTCCCTGCCCACACGCAGCCCAGCCAGGGGCCTTTCCACAGCTGGGCACTAGGCTGGCTCTGTGCCCCAGCACCCCAAAAGAGCTGGGACTTGGCCTCCTGCAGCCTGGAGCCCCACGGCAGGAAAAGCCCGGGGGGACCCTGACGCTGCGGGGGAGCACGCTCTCTCCCCTGGGCAGGCTGTGCTGGGTCTGGCACGGTGACTGCCGGCACGCTGCTCTGCCTCCCAAGGTGGCACAGGGCTGTTTATTCGCACGTGGTGTTTCAGGCTCAGGAGTCGTATTTACAGTCTTGCGTTAAAGAAGAGGAACCTGGACCCGTAACCAAGGGATGGGGAGGGCAGGGGCCGCCTGCAGCAGGGAGCTGCCACCAGTGGGTTCCTGTCTACGTGGGAGGGTTGGATCAGCTCCCTAGGCTGGGGCTAAAGAAGGGACAAGTGGAGACGGCGCCTTGTGCCACAAACACGAAGTCTGGGACCAGATGGGCTGCGCTGGTGCTTGGGCTCCCTCCACACACTGAGCGGAGGAGCGGAGCGGTGGAGCCACTCGTCTCTTGCTGGGCCCAGCTCTTCACAGCGGGTTTGCCGAGGAGGCTGCCAGCCTCTTCCCAATGTAGATCCTGCATTGGAGAAAGCGACTGTAAGGCACCTGTGCGGGGGCAGCCTGCTTGGCATCAGCAAGCCGGTAATGACAGGAGGGGCAGCCAGCCACTAAGACAACTGTGGCTGCTGGGAGAAGGGGTGTAGGACAGCACCCAAGGATGAGCAGTCCAACTCCAGGAGCGTTCCTCCACTTCCCATGGGGACAGCCCCCTGGGTCATGGCAGCCAGAGGCCCCCGGACAGCCCCAGACTGCACAGACACCCAGCAGCGCAGGGCTCACCCTGCTGGCACCCGAGTGGTCGGCTCTGGCCAAGGCCACTCGACAGCACAAGTCAGCCCCATCAGAAACTCACCCCAGTCCCAGGGTCAGCACGTGGCTGAGCAGCAGCGAGGGGATGAAGAGCAGCAGCAGCTCTGAACTGAAAAGACTCTTCTTTCTCCCCACTGCACCTCCCTGCAGGCTCCACAGCACCGGCTGGGGGGAGCACACAAAGGCAAACTCCCTGGGAAAAGTGCACGGTTAAAGGGGGCATGAGGGAAGAGGGCAGAGTACGTAGGAGGGTACAGGGACAGCAGGATGGGGCAGTGAGGCAGACACCAAGGGCAGGGGACAGCAGAACAGGCTGGTGGGGGACATGGGCCTTACTTTGGAGACAGATGCGGAGGACGGCGGGTGCAGGTCCAACCGAGGGATGCTGGCAGGCGTCGCTCCCTCCACTTGGCTCCCTCCGGCACATCCCGCTAGAAGGAGAAGTAAGGCAGGTGAGGCCAGGGGCACAGCTAGCACGGCCCACAGGGTGCAGCGCGGGGGGCCAGCTCCCTTACCTGCCGAGGGTGGGGGCAGCCCGGCTGGGGCTGGCTGCGGGGAGGGAGCAGCTCACTCTCCCCTGGCTGCTCGCTCACCTGGCCGGCTCCATTGTCATCCCAGGCCGGGGAGCCCAAGGCAAGCAGAGCACTGCAAACATAACGCCCTCAGTTACCCAATGCCCACTCTGGCTGGGCAGGACTCCGGGTGCCTGGGTTCCTCCTCAGTACTCACTTGTCACCAGTCTCTGTCTCCAGCTGGGCCTCCAGCAGCATCTTCTCCACATCGACGTGACACGAAGAAAACCGCGAGGGCTCGGGCTCTGGGAAGCCTGGGCCACACCGCAGCTCCACCCAGGAGCCTGGGGGGGCTGTCAGCCCAGCACCAGCCTGGCC